AAAAAAAAAAAAAAAAAAAAAAAAAAAAAAAAAAAAAAAAAAAAAAAAAAAAAAAAAAAAAAAAAAAAAAAAATGAAAATGAATATAAAAAATAAATGTATATTTTTTTTTTTTTATCTGTACATGACAAGATCAAAAGGAACAAACAACCTTGAAGGAATGATGGGTATATCTAAATTAGTGAATGGAAATGCCTTCTTTGTGTCACACTAAATTATATCAATTTTCCGTTGCTCATTATTCTGTATTAGGAGGGGAAGGGGGAACGTTAGGAGAACTGGCTAGCTAGGGTTTTTTCGAGTTGCCGACGTCGAGTGTCGAAGTGACGATCGGCAAAGGATTTATAGGCGCAAGTTTATGAAAAAATATCACGGGAATTATATGCATAGCAAGAATAATATATATTTTTTCTTTTATCCTGTTTACCTTATTTGAAAACTCGGATATGTATCATAAGTAAACGAGACGAATTTTTTATGTACCTACCAAATAATTTTTTTTTTTTTTTTTTTCTTTTTAACGATTATGTTTTATTAACATTTGAACCCAATTATTTAAGCAGGACGCGCCTGGTCCACGGCCAGAATTAAGTGCGATATCGAGATAATCATATTCGTGACACATTAAATAAATTAATAAAGAAAAGAAAAGAAAAAAGACGTGCAATGAATGTTTTGGTAAATGCTACAGTAATGTGGAAGTACATAAAAATGGAAGGGTGTCGCCGAATGAACGTCTCGATAATATGTAAATCATTAAATGTTAAAAAATACAGGATTAATTAAAAAAACCGGAACAACAATAACAAATAATAATAATAATAATAATAATAATGTAATGTAAATCGCCGGTAAAAAGGAGAGAAAAAATTTCTTCTTTTTTTTTTTGTTTTGAAAATTGGACAAAGGCCCAAAAAAGCATTACGAACCTTTCCTAGAAATCATCACCCTCATTGGCAAAAAACTTTGTGTAGGCAACAACTTGTTCAGGAAAAACAGAGGATCAGCAAGTTGTGATCGAATTTGGGAAGAAGAAATCGAAAAACGAAAAAAAAAAGATAATTACTGGTTGAGTAGACCAACACACCGCCGACGATACTGAGGATCATGGCAGGAACCGTTATCTAAATGTAAACAGTCACAAAGATGAATACGTAGGTTACCATCGAAGCTTTATGTATGATTCCGCAAGTGAATAAACGCATACCACTTCGGAGTGTGCAAGAACGAGCGGTAGACCTAAGGAACATCGATTTGCAGGCTATCATTATCACGTCGACAATACACAATTTGCGATTAAAGAGGATCAGGTGAAATATGCCTTACATATTCCAGTTATTATGAAGATTGAAGTCAAAAATTGCCCAAAATCTTTGAATCCATTACTGCTATCGACGTTATCGAATTATTATCGACGGCATTAAAGTTTGAGTGAGAGACGTGGAAGAAAAGAAAGCAGCTAATTACCCGGAACCACCGTCCCCGTAATAAAAATCGCCGGTGGAGCACCTCGAGAATATCATATTTGGAAAGGGTGCTAGGACATAAGTGGCAACTGTGCATTTAGTGAAATTAAAAGGGTTGTTCATCAATAAGATAATCATTCCGTAACGGACGGACAGGCGGAGTGACTGATGAACAGGAATGCCACCTACCAACGAACAATGGCCACCAATTCCTAAAGCGAACGAAGGCGTATTAACATAGGCATTCTATGGTGGGATTGATAATGAGAAACGACAATGATCGGTGGTGAAGGCTTACTGGTATAGCGCTCCAGACAAAATAACGAGTAGGAAGCCGCATGCAAGTACAAAGGACAAGCTGATGATGCTATAAATTTGATTTCGAGCTTTAGATTTGACACGTTAGGGAAAGACAGTAAGTAATAATGAGCTCGTAGACCACGACACTCACGCTATGCGGGCGGGCAAACCAGAAAGGTAGAAAAGAAGAAAGGAGGAAGAATTATATTATATCGAAGCTAAGAAGAGCAAATGCAACAGAGATCAATAAAATTTTTTACTTTTTAGTCCTGCCATTGTGTTGCTAAACTAAGTAATTGACGGTTGTTTTTCGAAGATCGTTATGAAGAAAAAGAGTGTTGGAAACACACAAGGATTCATTATATAACTATTTTTTATGGTCGGATCGACAAGGATCGTCGCCTCAATTCTTATACCAGTGATGTTTAACGCAGCATTTTTTTTTCACTTCACTAATCGTCATGCCAGTCTCCGAGGAGACCGATCTATCGAGAGATGTAATAGACGATATCATAGTGAGTGCCAGATACGGAGATCTTGAAGAGTTACAAGCGATTATGAGTTCGCATCCTGTCGAGTATCTACTAGCGGAGGATGAGTTTGGGAACACAGCCTTACATATGGCGAGTGCGAACGGACATGCCGGTGAATTTTGAACTTTTTTCTTCTAAAAAAAAAGCTCGCTGAAAATTTTTTTAATAATTTATTTGTTATAAATTTCATGACAGACGTTGTCGAATATATTATAAGAACGGCAGGAACCTTGAAGGAGAAGGTCGTGGCCAACGCGCAAAACGAATCGGGGAATACGCCTTTACATTGGGGTGCTTTGAATGGTCATGAAAGGGTGGTTGAGTTATTAGTGATGAATGGAGCAGACGCGAGGGTAACTCGGGGGTTTTTTTCTTTTTCTTTTTTTTTTAATTTGGGTCCATCTTTCGCCCGGATAACAGTTACTTTCTTATTCAAATGATAGATCAAGAACTGTGCAGGAAGAACTGCGACGTACGAGGCTCAGCAGAACAATCATGATAAAATAGTGGAATTTCTTTTATCCAATGCGGATATCGAAAAAGTTGATGAAAGTGAAGAGTTGGAACAAAATTCGTAATCATCTTCCTTCACACGTTTCCACCCTCCCCCAAAAAAAATGTCGGATGAGTGCATTTCATTTAACCGACTGGCTGTTCATCTATTCATCCGCAAAAAGATTTGCACAATTCAAGATTAAATATTTGGAGACCATAATTTCTCGACGGAATTGATTTCTTTATTACTATTATATTATTATTATTTGTTAAAAAAAAAAAAAACCTAAAACGGAAATCTTTGGTATCGGCAAATTTTTACCGAGTATCCATGTCCACAGTACCCCAGCCTAATTTGATGATCAATGCTAAGAAAGGAACGGAAATATATCACACAATGTGTGGTGGGGCATGACGATGTAACACATCCGGCATTCTGGTAAAGATACAAATTAGCCCAATACGCAAATACCGTTTCCTTAAAATTTTCCCGAGCGAAAACGCTTATCATTTTGAATTACCAATGACAAAGACCTCACCTCGTCGAATCCCCCGTAGACGAGATTCTTCGAGACAAGCAGCCCTCACTTTTCTTACTAACATCAGTCTTGGAACTGAAGCCTCTCTTCCTTCTGGTACTCAAAAGGAAACGGCTGCTCCCAGCCGCCCTGTTCCTGGCCCTTATATTGACGATCCGACACGACCACCCATTACTGTCACCGAACATGACTCCTTCAGTGAGAAAGGTAGGCCAGGCCTGCAAACGGCAACGACCACACCTTTCGACATACTCCCTTGTAAGACGGCGTCCAATAACGGCCTACTTAACTCCGAAGCTTCCTCCATAAACGGGACGGAAGAGTACTCTCAAGAATTTAACTCGTCTGGAAAGACTCGTTTAAGGAGCAATAGTCTACGCTTTTTATCAAACGCAAGTCTTGATTCCAAGAAATTGAAGTCGAATCACCCTTCAAAGGAAAACTTGGGCAGCCCAAGTAGGGAAAGGATTGCTGACCTGGAAGCCCGTGAGAACTCGGACGTGGAAAATCAGGAAAATCGAAATTTGAAGGCTACCGACTCTCCAAACAACATTTACAGGCGACGAAGACGCAGGAGTTCAGGTTAGTCTTATTTTATGCAAGTGCATGCGGCAAAGCTTCAATGTGTAGTCAATGTGGTTGGCATTTTTATCTTTGTGTAAATTAACGACGAGGATAACTGTAAATAATTTAACGGAATAGCCTCCACTTTAAAGTCAGAATCAAGCTCTTCTTCTGCCAATTCTGTAACTTCTCCTACTTCGTTCGACGATGAATCCTTATCCCGTCGCCCAAGTCATCAACATAGTTCATCCCCAAAGGCGGAAGTCATTACTGTTGGAAGCCTTAATGTAAGCACAGCCTAATAATTTACTTACTTAACCCTGAATGGTGTGCTGCATTTCCCAATGCCTCACTCTTTTTCACCCTCCCCCCCCAAAAAGGCACCTCTGAGTATTTTTTCAATGTTGGGATATAATGACAAGAAATCGAAACAAGGAAAACATCATAATCATTCGTATGTGTAACGCACGTTCAGTAAGCTTTGTTTCACGTGTCGCTCTATGTGGCTTCCTTACCTGAGAATTTTGTCATTCATCTTTTTAAAGAAAACGGGTCGCGAATGCGGACTCCATAAAAAGACAAAAGGTAAATGATAGAGATTTTTTCCGGGATTAATTTTTGACTTAGCCTATTAACGATGTTCATTAGGCCGAGTCCTTTGCTCGCCTTCTGGAACCCAGCAATTCGTTGAGGTAATTGATTATTGAGCATTGTTTTTGGAGGATTTCGGTTTTCAACTGAGCATCATGTGTTATTTTATGAAGTCCCGAGTTGGGATTGACGGGTTATGACCCGACATCCTTGGATAATCCTGAATTGTCACCTAACGATCTGCATGATTTTAAATCCAATAAGCATCGTACGGTTTTAAGTTTATCCGGTCTCGTGGTAGGTTTTCTTTGGTTCATCCGAACTCGCATCTAAATGCGCTTTTTACTGACCCAGAATTAATTAGGGTTCCCTGATAAATCACAGCACTCGACCGTCCGACCTGAAACGCGAGTCGAATGAACTCTTTCGTAAGGAACACCCCTACGTCGATCCAAGTTTAACTCTTAGCCAAATTCGCAAGATAAAAGCAAAACTTTTGACCGCATCTAGACACGACGTATGTATGCACATAAAGTATATCCATATCTGATCCCGTATTTCGGATACAAATTCGATACTCATTCTTCCTGCCCACAGGAATTGGACTTGGAGCTTTCAACGGTCGCCAAAGCCTACGCTTACTTCGAAAAGTTGATATTGAAGGTACAACCATCGTCCTTCCAGGATACTTGTGTGTGCGTGCGTCTTGATATCTTTTCTCTGGTTTAACTTCTGTTTTCCTGTTTCCTCTGTAGAATCTTGTGAACAAATCAAACCGAAGATTGATCGGAGGTACTATTCAGCACACGTCTTCCTCTTTTTGAGCATAACGATTTGCATCGACCTTTTCCATATTAATTGATCTTTTACGCAGCGACCTGTTTATTATTGGCAAGTAAAGTGAACGAACCAATGGGAATGTCCTATTCACCTTTGCTAGAGGTAAAGATGATTATTGTTATTCACGAGCATTTCTCACGTGCAACCTGTATCAATCATTTCCAATTCTTGAAGTCTTTATACAAGCATCTAGATGTTACACCCAAGGAAATTACAGAACAAGAGTTTTCGGTTTTTGCGGCATTGGATTTCGAACTGTATCTACCAACTTCGGAATTCATGCCTCACTTTGAACGAATCACTGCAATCTCCGGAGACAACAAGAAAAGTTACTTGGGCATCAATCCATTTTATGAATACAAAACAAAAAAAATTGCGATGCAATAGTCAAAGGTTATTGCACCCGTGTTAAATAATATGTGCTCTGATAATATAATTCAACTCTATGTTTTTTATTCGATATGATAATAATAAAAAAAACATATTGGATTAATGTAATTGATTTAATAAACGAACGACTCTTAAACATTAATGACCCGGGATAACTTTTGAATACGATTCAACAAGATGTCGCCTTGTTTAATTGTTTGTTGATACTGCGCATTCTTCGCATCAGGTCGATTGGTCTCCACAATTCCATTCACCTTGTCAATGACACAATTAAGTCGTCCGGCAGCGATAAATTTTGACAAATCACTAAAGAAAAGAATTAATGAATGAATTGAAATTTCTAGCCATTTTAGCGGTACATTTTTTTCTAATTTATCTCGAGAGGGAATCTTGACGCTTACTTGTCAATGAATTCCTCCGACACACCGAATGAGTTTGCCATGCTCTCCATGGTGAGCGAACGATACGACTCTAGAAGTTGTGCATACGCAATTATACGCATTTCGCGTACGTAGTACCGCAGATGGGAAAACAGGTATCTTGACGTGCGAAGATGGTTTTGTTCTACATCAGCTTTAGGGAAGAGGGAAAAATTTTTTCTTTAAAAACATCATTCGTAAAACAGGTCGCATCACAGCATGACAAGAAGATCGAGAGGCTACCAAGTGCTTGGAAGAATTTTGCATAATCACAGTTGTAAAGAGATGTGATATAGTCTTCCAAATGCGGTATCTCGTGCAAGACTTCCAATACTTCGGGTGCGTCAATTACCTGTTGGAGGGAACAAATAAATATCCAGGAGACCCAGAAAATGAATGTACCATAAAATCGGAAAAGAAAGAAAGGAAAACCTTCTTTTTCAAATCCACTCTACTAAGAGAAATAGCACCGGCCAAGACTGCGTATTTTATAAAAGTTTTATATTCCATCAGCTCGGTCGACATGAATGTTGAAAGTGTATCAAGAAACAGATTCGCGGCTCTCTTGAAATCACGTATCGACAATCTATAAACCCCCTCGTATACTTTAAGACGATTGCGTCGGTCCCAATCACCGCCTTCCTCGATCAAGCTGCAGTGAGATAGATGATGCATGCGAATGAAATTCGTTCATCTTTGCGATGAGATCGAGTTAGAATCACATTTACCTTCTTGCTCGTTCTATATTACGACTGATGATGCCATTATCATTGAAGAAGAAACCGATCCGCACGAAAGAGAATATTATGTCAATTCGGGATCCCAATCCCGCCGTTTTGTCTAATGCCGCGCGGTATCCAGAGATCGCTTTTTCCTGTAATCAGGGTTCGTGACGGTTAAGCGATTATCACAAAGTTTTCATCATCATGACCTGAACATTATGCGTTTAAACCTTGTCCCCAATTTTAGCAAAGTAATCAGCTTTGGCCAGTAAAGCATCACTGATCTCTGATTCGCCAAGATTTTTCTCGGCGTCTTGAAGCCTTTCGTCCAATTTCTGCAATTCTTCTTTGTTAGCTTCTTGATATTTAGAAAGCAGCGCCTTGTCAAGGGGGATCTTGACTTCATCGGCAATGAGCTGATAGAAAGGCGCCATATCTAACAGGTGTCATCGAAAACACTCTTAAAATCAAACATTGAAAAAAGACTGACTCGGACGAACAGAAAGCTAAAAAACTAAAGTTCTCACTATTCTCTTCGATTGCGGTCAACAGGATATTTTTTGCTTCTTCATGATGTTCTGGAGTTTTTGGATTGTTCAAGATAAACCGATAGTGAGCTAGCTCGAGATTAGGCAACTTTGGAATTGATGCGTCCGACATTTGTTTTTTTTTTTTTTAAATGGAAAAACGGTGACGACGACTCGTTTTCATTATTCTTACATATATAAAGCAAATTTCTTGCCGATCATGATTTCACTCTAATATAATATTATTGGTCGATAAATTTTCGAGAACAATGTATAGTAATCTCTCGAATATGATACAGTACATCAATATACTGTATTATTTAAAAATCCTAGGAGGACCAACGCCTCATAATTAATGACTTGTTTGGGTGGATTCAAAAATAATTCAGCTCAAATACTACTAAAATGCAAGACTTCACTTTTTCTTAATGTGACTGTTTATTATTAGGATTTGTTTTTTTTTTAAAAAAAAAAAAAGCTTTAAAATATCGCAAATTACTACTTCAAGCACTCTTCATAGAAAATTTTTCAATATATTATTGTGACTTGAACGAACGTGTCGCCAAGAAATGCTAAAAACTGTAACGGCAAGTTTAAAAATTCATGTATATATTAGTCGATTAATCGATTAAAAGAAATACCGCCTGTCTTTCAGGTTCGAGCAAAATCCACCTAGGTGTAATACCATTTCGTGTTTCAGTTAATACACAATCCTAGTTAGTATATTTTCCTTTATGGAACTGATGTTGGTGTAGATCTCGCGAATATCATGGTCGTCCACACTTGAAACGTCTGCCATCATGTATGCTATTTCACCGTGTGAATCGGAATGTTGCTTTTCAACGTTATGATCCGAGAGAAGTTGGTTAATTTCCTATTAAAAAAAATTCAGGATGAAATTTTGATTTTAATAAATCCTATGCACAGAATCTAAATAGAATTTTACCTTTAGTACACCAGGAACGTTATGATGGACAAAAAGAATTCGAATGTTCTTCTCTTCTGCGACTTGAATAGCCCGAAGGTCAACTTCTGGAAAGTTCACGGCGCCGATCGAGGATCCGTAGCTTATAAATTTATAAAGAGCCGTTGCAACTTCAATACCAATCATCCTCTGTGCCTCCTCAGTAGATCCACCTAAGGAAAACCATGAATATCGAACATTTAACTCACGATGTTCTAGTTTCTAACGGCATTTTCACCATCCGTCCACGCGGACCAAGTTCATGAGGCGACCGATTGAAAAATCGATTCTCCCCCCTCAAAAAAATATGAAAAGAAAAGAAAAACGCGTACCTATATGTGGCGTCATTATTAAATTTTTACAATTCAGAAGATCTGTTGACCATTCATTTAACTCGTCATTAAAGTGGGGACCATTTGAATGGGGTTCACGTGGATAAACATCGATTGCTGCGCCTACATTTAACAATCGTCGAATGAGCGTATGTCGGGTAGCATGCATACACGATAAAATGATGCAAACCTGCTAGTAGACCACTTTGCAAACCCTTTATTAGAGCCGGAATTTGAACGACGGTGCCGCGTGAAGCATTAATCAGATAACTTCTTTTCTTCATTTTGCTAATCTCTTCGTGACCAATCATGTTCTTGGTTTCCTTAGTTTCTGGTACATGTATACTGACAAAGTCGGCCCGTTCAAAAAGCTCTTGAAGAGAGCCAACTTGTTTTGCAGTTCCTATAGGCATAATCTGAATTATATCGTAGAAGAACACGGTCATCCCCATGGATTCGGCAAGAACCGACAGTTGCGTCCCAATATGGCCGTAACCAATGATCCCTTGAAAATAGAGGAACAACTTATGAGCGTGGGATCATTTAAAATTATATCGTTCGCGATGCACTTACCAAGAGTCTTTCCACGAATTTCATAACATTCCGAGGATACCTTATTCCAAATCCCCTGATGCATCTCAATATTACGATCACCCACCTGTCTCGACAATGTGATGATCTCCGCAATAACCAACTCTGCTACACTTCGACTGTTGCTGAAAGGAGAATTAAACACGGCAATACCTCGCTTAGCGGCATAATCCAAGTCAACTTGATTCGTACCGATGCAGAAGCAGCCAATAACTAAAAGTTTTTTTGCTTCGCGAAGGACATTCGATGTAAGCTTCGTTTTCGAGCGAATCCCAATACAATGAACTTCGCGAATTTTCTCTATAAGGACATCTTCAGGAAGAGCTTTTTTGTGAGCTTCGACCTTTTTGCAAAAAAAGATTATTGGTTTTCGGAAATTCCCCGCAGAAACGACGCGAGAATCCTAATTAAAATCGTACCTGGTATCCTTCCTTGGTCAGAATTTCGACGGCAGTCTCGTTTATATTCTCCAATAATAAAATTTTTATGTCACCGGAATCAAACGGTTTAAGTATCTTCACATTTTGCGTAAAAGACCCAGATCGCCTCAGAGGATACATAATTTGTTGTTGATATTGACGGTCAGCCATAATTACCGATATAAACGAGATTGAAGGAAAACTTTACTTTTCATAGTTTATACGATTTAAATATTTGCAAAATTTTTCCTTCCACCAATAGAATAGGAGTGCAGGCGTACGCAATTGGTTAAGTCGAATCTCTCGTCGTTACCTTTTTTGGAAGTTTTTTTTCACTTAGACCCGGAGAAGAATTGCTATTAACAGCATCTGATTATCAGCTACTTGTATTAACCAACTTTAGATCTTTTTTTTCGACAGTCGTACAATTTCCAGAAAGAAATCACGGGCACGTGAATGTTTCATTTAATCAAAGATTCCTGGCACATATTTCAAATTATATTTGAAAGTGAAAGAAACTATTTACATTAAGATTCGCATCCCCATATTATTTCATTTTAAAATTGATAAAGAACTTTCGAAGGCATTTATTAACAAATCTCTTTCGGACATTTCATAGAACTAGAGCAATTGAACACGTGTCAATGAATTTTATGAAAACGATTACTTCTTACTGAGACGATCATGATATGGTTGAAGCGTCGGATTTTTCTTTTCTATTAAAAACTTTTGACTGTTAAAGTTTTTTATCCAACCAAGGGTTGTTGGGGAATTGCTTAGGCAAGTAATAATCAATGTCTGGCCGGGATGAATTCACTGATATTAAATTATACCATCCATCCACCTACGATTTTTACACGCCATCTCGACAGCACATTGACCCCAGTCAATTCCGTGATTGTGCTTTCCCGGCTTATCTCCTAGTCCAGCCCTTTCTAAAGCCTGTTCATCATTTAAACAAGTTAGAACCCCAAACACTACCGGAACACCATTATCCAAACTGACTCTCATTATTCCTTGAGCCACTGCTTCAGCGATATATTCAAAATGCATTGTAGCACCTTTGATCAGCACTCCAATACAAATGACCGCATCAAAAATCTTTGCGTTATTAGCTTGAGCCTGGGCTCTGGAAGCCAGGATCAAACGTTGAGCGGTGAATGGAAGTTCATAGGCGCCCGCAACCGACTGAACAGTAATGTTTTCGCGTTTCACCTGGTACTGTGAGATCATGGTTTCCTCGGCACCACGAACTAACGCTTCTACGATCTGGTAATTCCAACGTGTATGCACTATTAAAATTCGCAACGAGGAACCATCGAACTTTTCTTCAGAAGGTGAAACCCCTTTGACAAAAATATCCATTTTTTTTAAAAAAAAGAGTACAATGGTGAAAGATCTGCCAAGTTAGCACTTTCACGTGGATTAAGTATGCGGAATCACCGGAATTTTTTTTATCGGAATCGTATTTGCCATCGATATACTGTAGTTAAATTCGGTATACTAATAAATCATTTCTTTCTGCAATAATCAATTGGGTGTTTACATTGATGTCTTCTTTTCTTTACGGCTGGCTCAGCCATCATATGTTATGTGTGATACACATTTTATACGCATATGACTAATCTATATGTGAGAAACTTCCAATATCGTGGCTTGTGACCATCAAAACTAGAGGAATCCGGTATCCAAAAAAAGAAATATTTCTCACCTACAAGGTTGTATGTTCAAAATAGGATGTGCTAGAGGCAACTATCAAACAATAGAGGAATTATAATAAGGAAGAGATGTAAGGTGGTTACTATGTTCTTATTTTTACATTATCTTTTTTATTTAACACATTTGTGTAATAATAAAATTATTATTATTTTTTGAGGCAAACTTACTTATATACAGTATATAATATGAATTAATACTAATTAAACTATACTTTATTGAAAAATAGAAGTAATGATACAATGCAAAGCTATTCTATAATATATTATCTAGATACTAATCAAATAAAGTTTTTTAAAGAGATTTTTATTAGGAATCATTTATTTTATAATTATATTTGAATATCACAACTATTTTAAATAAAAAAAACTTTATATACCTGTATATATAATAAATAATAATAATTATTATTATTTAATTATAATATTATAAACTAAATATAATCAAAAATATATTTGTTCTAGGAAAAATTAAGAAAGCGTTGAATATCTTTCTTACAGTATAGTTTTACATTTATAGTTACATTATTTGTATCTGCTCTTACATTTATCATATATTATGAGTATTTGTAAAATTCCATCTTTATGAGTATAATAAAGTAAAAATAAAGATATTGGGAAATCTACGAGGAGAGCTCAACTGTTAGAAATCCCTTGTTCCAAGATAGCACTAGAGGGATCAATAAGTAGAACAATTTATAC